AGTTATCAAATCTTTCAGACTCTGAGATTTGTAAGTGGTCCAGGGTTGGGTTTCAGTGTCTGGGCAGGAGACCCTCTCTCTGAGCCATTTCGTAGAGACCAATGCCTATAAGGACCTTTGCATCAGCTGTTCTGCGCCAGAGCTCTCTGTATGGGACGAGTTGGACTTTGATGAACTCGCCGTGTTCACGGAGTCCTGTCTGTTTGCCTTGTAGCTGCGTGATTGTCTCTTGTTCCACTTGCCTTCTGTACAGAAACATGCTCATCTCTTCATCACAGCCTCCCTGAACCAGAGAGAAACAATTGATTATATCCCAAGCACATTCTAAGACTACGAGATGAAGTAAGTTGTTGAGTTTTCACAACTTATTGTATCCTAAATATGGAAGATGGAGGAAAAACATGGCTTACGGGAGAAGGGAAAATCCGGTGGCCTGTAGATGGATCAAGGAATGCTGTGAGATCAACCATGTCTTCTTTTTTCAGTTTTATACCGATCTCCTCTTCGACCTGATATATATCCATGAACCAAAAGTGTCATGTAACTTGCACAAAACTCAAGTCCAAAAGACTTTGTCTTCTCTCCAATTTTAGGTTCCTCCTCGGGTAAAACTACCAAAGCTCTTGAGAATTTTGCAGGCCATTTCATTAGCGGTTTGCAATTTTCCAGCTCTTCTAGTTTTTTTTTTTTACTTCCACTAATCAGGAGGACACTAAGGTCTGTTTGGGGAGCTCAACATTCAAAATTTCCGCATAATTTTCCAAGTGATAACATTCACGGTAAAGAGAGAGGTACCTCTCGAACTGCAGTTCCAACAAAGTCACCTTTATCATCATCCAACATCCCAGCAGGTAATTCCAGAACAATCTTTCCAGTAGGAACTCGAACCTTAAAAAAAAACCCGTAAAATGTGACATTTTGTATCATTCACATTCAACTCAAATCATTCACCCAAAAGAGCATTTTTTTGGTTTCAGGAAAAGAATACCTGCTCAGTGAGAACTGCATAAGTCTCACCATCTGACTCCAAGAGAATGAGCACGGCTACGGCTGGCCCTCGTGCAAATACAATACCTGGAACCTAATGGTGTCTTAAGCTTACAAAATGGAACCAAAGCTAGAAAGAATATATTGTTTGAAACAGAGATACAAGAAGATGATGAGATACCTTGTGTCCAGTTTCCTTGTCGAAAATATCTGCTTTGAATTTGAGAAACCCAATTCGTCTTCCAAACATATCAACTCCCTAAATTCATAATCTTTTCATCAGAAAAATGAAACATCCAAAAATGATGAGTCTATCACTAACTGGATTAACCTGAATATGAACTTGCTTTAATGTCATTGTCCCATTAGCCAAGATTCCATTCTCTGATTCCAAATTTCTTAGCCAGTTCTTAAACAAACATGAATCTATCGCATCCCTGAGACACAAAATAAATCGAATTTCTTTTTTTTTTTTGGAATTTGAAGACATTGACGGATTTTCGAGAAATAAACACCAGAAAGTCGAGAACTCGCCTGAAATCAGAGGAAGAGACTCCCGCGGCTGCAGCCACACGGACGGGATCGTTGGGTTGGATCGGAAGCGTAATGGAATGAGTGAGAGAGGAAGAAGAAGAAGACATTTCGCAGCGAAGCATAAGGTTTTTGCGGTGAATGCGACGTATAGCGCGTGAAGAACACGCGATGAACCGTGAGGGTGAAAGAGTAAAGCTAAACATCTCGAATGCAAAACAAGGAACAAGGAAAAAAGCAATCTGGCTCGTTGGAGAAGAAGGTAAAGATCAACACGTGTCACTGCCACGTCTAATCCTCATGCTCTCTAAATTGTGTTATCTTGTGCATTTGCTAAGGTACAAGCAAAAGAGGTTTCGTGGTGTAGTTGGTTATCACGTCAGTCTAACACACTGAAGGTCTCCGGTTCGAACCCGGGCGAAGCCATTTCTATTCTTTTTGCCTCGATTTATATTT